GGTTTCTTGAACATGACAATGAGTTCACTGTACTCAAATGGCCTCCACAGTCACCAGATCTCAATCCAATAGAGCATCTTTGGGATGTGGCGGAACGGGAGATTCGCATCATGGATGTGCAGCCGACAAATCTGCGGCAACTGTGTGATGCCATCRTGTCAATATGGACCAAAATCTCTGAGGAATGCTTCCAGCGCCTTGTTGAATCTATGCAACGAAGAACTGAGGCAGTTCTGAAGGCAAAAGGGGGTCCAACCCGTTACTAGCGTGGTGTACCTAATAAAGTGGCCGGTGAGTGTATCTATTGGTACATATATCTACAATATGCCTAGTCACTGACCTTGCAAAAGTGTTTGACATGGTTAATAGTGGTCAATAGTTAATGGTTGATAGTGACATTTTAGACAACTTATGTGGTCTCAGTCTCTCTAATGATTCTTTTATTCTTTGACTCTTTTTTTATTCTATAAGTTAATGTGTCTCCTTTCAGGGCAGCCAGTCAGACTTTAAGATCATTGAAAAGGGGGTACTATCCCAAAGGTTCATCCCTAGGTCCTCTGCTATTCTCTATTTTCATTTGTGGTCTTCCTTAGGAAAAGTGTGGATTGCTCTCTCCAGGTTGGGACTGAAGTTCTGCCTCAAGTGGAGGAGTTCAATTATCTTGGGGTCTTGTTCATGAGTGAGGGAAGAATGGAGGGTGAGACTGACAGATGGAGTTTTGCAGACTCTGTACAGGTCTGTTGTTGTTCAGAGGGAGCTGAGATGTACGGCAAAACTCTCTGTTTACCGATCAGTTCCTACGTTCCTACCCTTAATTATAGCCACAAAGTGACTGAAATATGGTAATATCACATGTGGAGTCCCTCCGGGCTCAGTACTGGGACCTAAGTTATTTATTTTATATGTAAATGACTTAGTAAATGTGTCAGGACTTTTCAAATGTGTTTTATTTGCTGACGATACAACATTTTTTTGTTTAGGTAAAGATAGAAAAAATGTTTGAGATGGTACAGAAAGAATTTGAGAAAATATAAAATTGGTTTTAACAAAACAAATTATCATTAAATTCGAATAAAACAAATTATATAATATTTAGTAATAGGAAGACAACTGTTGATTTTTCATTTAAAGTGGGCTGTATTGAGATCTGTAAAGTCAGTGAGTTGAAATTTCTGGGTGTCATCATGGGTGACAAGCTGACATGGAGACCTCACATACATTATTTAAAAACCAAAATATCCAAATCTATTGGACTACTGTACAAAGCCAGGGAGTTATTCAGTGACAAAGCTCTACTTGTGTTGTACAATTCAATAACTGTTCCAAATTTAATTTACTACATTGAAGTCTGGGGTAAAGCATGTGAAACAATTACAAATCTGATTTTTGTTTCACACAAAGAGCTGTAAGAATTATTGCGAGAAAAGATTACAACCATCCATCTAATACCTTATTTTGTAAACTGAAAATTTTGAAATTCTATGATTTGGTTGGTTATAATATTTTACTGTTTATGCACAAGGCTCACAGAAACATATTACCTTCCAACATTCAGGTAAACTTTGTTAAGAGAGACAGTTGTTATTATCTAAAGGGGATGGAAAAGTTTGTAAAGCCATATTTTCATACTTGCTTGAAAGAAAGATGTACTTTAATTCAAGGTATAGGATTATGGAAYGGTCTGGAAGATGATCTTAAAACTGCTAGATCAATGTATATATTTAGGAGACAGATAAAAGCGAGTTTTTTTTTTTAGAAATATGAAAAGTAAAATGTGAAGCTATTTGATTTGTTGTTTGAGTTGATGTTTTTATGTTGTTGTTGTTTTTATTTTTTAAATTATTTTTCTATTTTACTTATTTTTGTTATTTAGTATAGTTTTGTAAATTATGTTTGATTTGAATACATTCTGGGTTAAAAAGGGGCAGACAAAATAAGATTTATTCTTCTGCTACCTTTCATTTTATTTTGATTTGTATATTTTTTGGTTTTGGTTTATTTTTATTATTGTATACAGTATTTTTAATGAAATGAATACATTTTTTAATTGAATTGAATTGAAATAGCAAGACTGCAGACACAAGCGGTCGAAATGAGTTTTCTCTGCAGGGTGTCTGGGCTCTCCCTTAGAGAGCTGCTGCTCCTCCACGTCCAGAGGAGCCAGTTGAGGTGGTTCATCTGGTAAGGATGCCTCCTGGACGCCTCCCTAGGGAGGGGCTTCAGGCATGTCAGAGACCCAGAGGAAGACCCAGGACATGCTGGAGAGGCTATGCCTCTTAGCTGGCCTGAGAAATCCTTGGAGTCTTCCTAGAGGAGCTGGAAGAGGTGGCTGGGGAAAGAGAGGTCTGGGCTTCCCTGCTCAGGCTGCTGCCCCGTGACTCGACTTTAGATATAGTGTACCTGAAACTCCTCGGTACCTGAAACTCCTCAGACTAAAGAGGTCTCTTAGAGGAGAGACGAAACGTTTCATTAAAGAACAACCTGTCCAGAGGACCTTTTTTTTGATAAAGCTTTCACAGCAGGAGGTCCACCAGGATGCTACAGATTCATGTTAAAACATTTGTAGCCTTGACTTATAAACTACAGTAACACAAGTTATATAACCCAACAACTACTCTGCTGAACCTGAAGCTAACATTCTGTCTGCACTGCCTCAGTGAGGCTGTTGTACCCTGATCCCTCAGTTTCAGATCCAGGAAGAGTCCTGGGGGTCCTAAACTTCTTTAATTTGCAGATGATGAGGCCACTGGGCTCATTGGGACCAGTGATGTTTCTGTAGCTTCAGCAGTTTTGTGCCTTCATACAATCCTGGCTCAGAGGTCTACAGACAATCAGACATCTGTTTTCACATGAACCTTTAACCATGTGACCATATACAAATGAGTGTTTTGTTACAAATCATGTTCAACCAACTGACTTTACCACATGTGGACTCCAATCAAGCTGTAGAAATGTGAAGAAAAACCAGTGGAACAGGAGGAACCTGAGCTCCATTTGATGGGTCGGGTAAAGGCTGGAATATTTATGTACATGCTATAATGTGTTTTTTGTGGGGTACTGTGTGTAGATTTTGAAATAAGGTGGTAATATATAAAAAAACATAGAAAAACTGAATATTTTCTAGATGATACCATGGTGTTAAAAGTCAGGGAAAAATTCCCAAAGCACCAGGGAGTAAAGTTTAGACTGACTGAACCCACTGATCAGAGCCATCAGAATTAACATCACTGATCACTTCAAAGATTGAACTAAAGTCTCCTCCAAATCTCAGCTCTTAAAGTGCCTGTGACGTTAATTAATAATAATAATAATAATAATTTGATTGCATTTTTAGAAAGATAACATTGATAAAATATTGCAAAATAAATTTCATGTCGCTGAGATGAAGAGTTGTTGAGATATTTGCCTGTGAAGTAACAGGAAGTGATGCCAAAGGGGAATGTCTGCATGTAAACAGAGCGTTGTTACAACAGCTAACAACAGAGACTGTAGAGAAGAATCTGATGTTTCTTTAGATTATTTTTAGTCTCTATCAGAGAGAAATGAAGAGACAGAGTTAAAATAAATTGCTTCAATAAACAAAGACCAGAGAGTTTTCTTTGTTAAACCCTTGGCTGAGCCAAGTTCAAAAGAAACTAGACATGGGTTTTTACGATGTAACAACAAGTGTGCATTGCCATGTAGCATGTCATTGCAGCATGGCTTTGCCTGCAGCATTGGACTTGCAGAATGAAATGGGACCAAGTTCAAATGTGTTTTCTAAACCAGCTTGTGCCTGTCACATGAGCAGGTGTTTGTAATTAAGGTAATTGAGTGACAATATGAAGTTGGAAGAGATTTTTTTGTTAAAGTTGCATTAGCTGGGTTTTGAACCCTGAGCTCGCATATGAAAGTCCATGACATAGACCAGTAGACCAATGGAGCTGTGGAAGAAGGTGGTGGCAGGGGTTGGTTTGTATGTGTGCAGAAAGAGGCCACATTGCCAATACAATTATTRACACTAAACTGCATAATATTACAACAATAGAGCAGTATTAAGACAATGATATAGTAAAACATCAAAATACAATCATATTAGTATTGTAAAATAATTGTATTGTAAGGTAATTGTGTRACAATATGAAGTTTGAAGAGATTTTTGTTAAAGTTGCAGTAGCTGGATTTGAACCCTGATCTCCCGCATGAAAGCCCACAGTGCTCATCATGAGACTATAGGAGATGTGGCAGARGACAATCCCAGGGATTGGATTGCATGTATACAGAAAAAGTTTACCTTGCCAATGCAATTATTGACACTTAAGTGCAATATATTACAGCAATAGGACAACATAAAGACAGAATTCCAGTAAAACATCAAAATACAATCATATTAATATTGTAATCACTGAACTACTGAGTTTAAATATTATAAAACTATGGTGCAGTACCATATTGTGTAGAGGCAGCAGGGGGGAGTATTGGACCAATACAAGGCTCCAT